CACCCACCAAGGACGGTTGATGATTATCGAAGAAATCTATACAATGGAAAAACTGACCCATAAACTGTAACTAGAAGAACGAGAAATGGACTGAATACAAGACTGGAAATGGTGGAAGGACTGTTTAGTGAATTTGAATGCAGTGCAGACACGCAAGCAATGCTTATGATTTTGTTCTCTTTATGTTTATAAAAGCCAAATAAAGAAAGGAAGATACTGTGTGAGCCCAATGTCAGTCTTAGTCACTCATAAAAAAAAAAATCATCTGGCTCCAATGACCCCCAATTTTCTTAAACCATCCTTCTAGGGGAGCTCGTGTGTTATCGAGAGGAGCTGAGTTCCCCGTGGCTGCGCTGTAGTTCAAACCCCGAGTCTCCAGGTAACAACAACAGGCCTGTCACGCTGTCTCACTAATAACATCTGTCCCATTAGTGTCCCGATCAGCCGCGACACTGAACCTGCATGTACAGCAGCAAGGCCCTGAACACGCTGAAATCATGCAGCACAACTGGAGGTGTACCTGCTCCATGCTTTCTACTACAACCAGGCTTCTGAAGAAAAGATCTATTTTTACATTCATCGTTTTATTCTGAAGCATTCTTTGTCGCCTCGTTCCTCTCACTAAAGCAACGACGGAAATCTCGTCACGCCTTCTATTCGTTGAACCTTGAAGTGTCGGAGCTGCGGCGCTTTTGTTAAAAACGGGATCTAATATTCTCCTGCACCATCCTGAAAATACACTCCCACAAGGACGAGAGCCATTTTAGTTCAAGGCTCCGGAGACGGAGCTGTCAGATGTGAACCTCGCGTCTGTCAGAGCTGGAAGTGGAGCCTTTCATTTCAGAAAAAAAACGTCTCGGAGCTCAGCTGGTTCCACTGGGGTCCGACAGGAGACGAGCTAGTGGAGGATATTTAGCAATAAGAGAACACTTTGATGCTAAATTACATAATAAAATCATTTGTTTTGTGTCTACTCAACAGGGTCTGTTCATAAGTCGGTGTGACAGCGATCGCATGTGAGCAAACTCCTGCTCCTCAGCGTTGGTCAGCGCCTTTACAACCCAGATGAATGTTATCGCTGCAAACCTCAGGCCTGCTGGATGACACAGATCCTCCTACAGATGCAGCAAGTGCTCACCAGGCCGTGTTTACAGCCCTTGACACCGTATTTCAACAGGAAGCGTGAAACTGAAACCCAGCGCTGTAGAGACTAAGCAAAAAAAAAAAAAAAAAAGGCCGGTTGTTCTTCTAGAGTTTTCTGCCCTTTTGACATTTGGCTTCATCGCGACACGCTGCATCAACACAAATGTCACCGCCCCGAAATACCCCAGGAGGGCTTTGACTTACTGCGCAGAACTCTTCAAAGGATATCCTGCCGTCTCCATCCTTGTCTGCATTGATAATGGTCTTGTCCACGATCTGCTGGAGCTGCGTGTCCTTCAGGTTGTTGCCTACCATCATCTTCAGCACCTGGAAGAGCTCGCCGTTGGAGATGTAGCCATCCTTGTCCATGTCGTAGATCCTAAAAGCAACTGTGGTGCAGAAAAGGAAGCAGAAGTCGACATGAGTGAACCAAACTGAACACTACTTAACTTGCGTCTTGCTCGCTATCCACAAGCTTCTGGCTAAAGTTGTTGGCCTTATGACACAATCTTATTGTTTTTATGACAGTCCACAGATTCTTGAAGAGGTTTAAGTCAGGACTTTGGAGAGGCCAGTCTAGAACCTTAATTCAAGCCTGATTTAGCCATTTATTTACCACTTTTGATGTGTGTTTGGGTCCTTATGTAGCTGGAAAACCCAATGCCGTCCAAGAGCCAACCTTCTGACTGATGATTTTAGGTTTTCCTGAAGGATGTGGAGGTAATCCTCCTCCTTCATTATTCAATTCACTTTGTGTAAAGCACCAGTTTTACTGGCAGCAAAACAGCCCCAAAGCATGATGCTGCCACCACCATGCTTCACAGTAAGTTTGGTTTTCTTAGAGTTTAAGGCCTCACCTTAACATAGTTCTTATCATTGCCCAATTTTTGTTTCGTCTGACCCCAGAACCTTCCTCCAGAAGGCTTTTCTTTGTCCAGTATGATCACCAGTGAATGTCAGTGAAGCTCTAAGGTGCCAGTTCTAGTGTGGACACTGACAGATGTGTTCCAGCAGCTTTTAATTCACTGAGCTGTAGTCAATGGTAACCACTTATGAGAAGCTAAGAGGCCATGCCGGTAAGAAAATTTGATTACCACAGTGTTCTACATCATCAAAACTGATAGTTAAAAGTGGCCGTATGTATATTGTTGACACAGCAAATCTGATCATTTTTCCAGAAGACCTTTAATAAATCTATGAAAGAATCAAAATTCATGAGTTTTTTTTTGTGTGAAAAAGGAGTCACTGAAAACTCAACACTGATATGATACACTCGGTCTTTCCAAGTGTATGTAAACGTTTGTTCACAACTGTACGTTAAGTCTTTACCGTTTCTGACTCTTTGTCCCCGTTGACTCTGTAAATTCTTATGTAAACTAAAACAATCAGCTTTTTATCAAACGTGTTCCTGTTTGGCTTCCAGTCACGCCGGCTCCACTACAAACCAGTCTTTCTCTTTCAAAAGAAGTCGACTAGCTTCATTCTTGACTCCAGAGACAGATGGCAGAGTGACATTTCTGGCCAGAGAAATACTCATTTCTCTTTGGTTTTATTTTTACTTCACCGTCCCTTAAGGTTCAAGCCAGAAAGTTAATTATATCAACTGCTCTGCATCTACAAGCCATTTCCCCCCCCACAGGTTTTTCTGCTGCAGCAAGACAAACAGAAGAAGAGGGGGACACAGGAGACAAAGCTTTATCTGGTTTGAGTCCCGAAGCAGCAGAACAAAACAAGCACATGTGTTTGGGAACCAGAGACCCTGTACTTGTGGCGTTACTTCTGGCCACACGTGGCTTTAATGAAGAAGCAGCAGCAGCTCTACTTACATCGAAGCTTCTGTTCCTTGTCCCCCTTGACGCTGAACTGCGAGACTCCCTCGATAAACTCTGTGAGGAGAGAAGAGAGCAACGATCAGCGCTGTGGGTTCACAGGTAAACCAGAGTCCCTATGAGGGCTTCACTTCAACACTACAGTCAACCAACACCTGGACATTAAAGCATTTATTCCTTGTGATGTGTACGAGCAGGCAAGACTTCCCCAAAGGCAACAGATCGACTGACTGTCAGATCCAGCATCCATCAAATTTACGATTATCAGTATTGCTGAATATTTTTTAAAGCGATTCCGATAAAATAAATATAATTTTACATGTGTGTCTTCTTCTCTCTTTAGTTGTGGGTTTGTGTAACTCCTGCCAACAGCCGATCAACACTGAACAACAAATGTTAAGAGGCTCTCTTTTAATTAAACGTATGTAAAACATGAATAAAGGCATTTTAATGAAGTTTTGTGCTGGAGATTGCACTATTCAAATTTTCTAAATTAACATTTTTACCCTAGCTATCGGTCTCCTTGATGGCAGTGAGTTTATGACTTACTATAAATGTTAATTTCAGCATCTGTTATTGATCTTCTTGATTACTAATAATTGGTACTGGGCCTGAAAACACAACATATCTTTTGTTTATTAAATAAGAGAAGGTAGATGGGACTTTTCTGATATTGTTGAACACTTTATAGACAAAACATTTAATCAGTTCATCAAGGAAATGCCTTGAACATTATTATAAACACCACTTTTCCTCATTTTTTTCTTCTACTGTCATGAAAAGCAAAGAGACTGCTGGTGCACTTCTCTTTTTTTCAAATCACACATTGTAGTTAAACTTCTAACAGAGTTCCTAATCTGTGGAACAACAGGTGTGTTTTTAATCTTTACGGATCAGGGGTAATTCATTGTCATTGTCTCCTCACCAAGTAAGTTCTGCATATTATAAATCACACTAAATGTTAATGAAACGTGCTGTTGTTGCTGAATACGGTTAGATTAAAAACAAGACAGAACACTGCAGAGACACCAGGAAAGGATTAACATGAATACTTTTATGTGAACTACTAATAATGGCGCACATTCTTGGACTGCAGTTTTGCATTGTAGGTAATTTACCAATTATGCAATTGTTATTTTATTGGGATAAATCAGTGGTCCTACTGACAAAACTGGATCCTCCTTGGTGGTTGCCTTTTTATTAGCTCACTAGTCTCTTACAGGAAGTCACTTCTGGTGGATTCACAGATTAAATATCATAGAAATATTTTATAATAATAACTTATGAACACTCCTATATTGCTGAGTTAAACAAATATGTTGTCACTTTAGGTTATCTGCATCTGAAGCAGCTGAATTGAAAAAAAAACACGAGTATGAATTATGAGATAACATCCTCCTTATTTTAGTCAGATAAAAGAGACGAGAACTTCCTCCTCAGCAACATGCAAAGTGTGAACACAGCCTTAGCGATACGCTTCAATTGCGATTGAGTTCTGTGATCATGCCAGCAGGTGTTGTGGTATCTTTAAAGTATTGCAACCGCAGACCAAAATAAAGCTGTTAAAATCCAGTACTGGTAGTTTCCCACAGCGGCAGGGTTTACTTACGTACCTTTAAAGTCCACCTCTCCGTTCCCATCCGTGTCGAATATGTCGATAACCCTTTGCACCAGCGGGTTCTGTTGCAGCTCGGGCAGAGACATGAACTCCTCCACGCTGAGTGAGCCGGAGTTATCTAGGTCGAGTTTCTTAAACCTCTTCCCTAGCCTTTTAATCTCATCAGCATCGACTGGACAAAGAGAAAAAGAAAGAGAGAGGAAGAAGAGGATCTGGATGAGACATTTCCTTTGTCAACATTTAGCTGCTGTTCTTATCCAACCCTTAGATGCTTTAAACCGTGAGAACAGAAGCTGTTAAGGTCGAATGAGCGCTGACGTCAGACAACCTTACCCCAAGATGGACGGCAAAATAAAAGAAAAAACATCACATACATTAAGGCAGAGGATCTTCATGCAGAATATAAATATCCCTGTCAACACCTGCATCAACTGCAGTCGTAAATTTCGGTAGCCACCGCTTGTAACTAGGTCAGACACGCCACTTCCGGCCTGCACAGGACTGAACTAACCGCTGTACAGTATGCAGAGCACGTGTGGTTATCCAACGATACACGAAATAGGTGCAACTATTAGAAGAAGAAAAAAAAGAAGCTCCAACTGCAAAAGAGCAACGAGTGCTATAAAGCAACTGGTATTACTACTGCTACCCTGAATTTAAAAAATAAATAAATAAAATTTTTAAAAAAAGATAAAGAGAGAGAGAGAAAGGTAGGCTGGAGAAACAAACAAGAGAGACATAAATAAACAGAACTACTGCAAACTTACATACTTTGTGGACTATTTGTGTGTATTTGTTGTCAGTCGGATTCTGGCTCTTTTGTTCCCCTGCCATCAGAAACAGCCTCAACTCGCTGGCCGGCGTACTCGGCAATAAGCGTGGAGTAATCCAGAAGCAATAACAAAGCCAGTTGTTAATTACTATATAAGCTCATTCACACGCAGTCACATGACCGCGCTGGCCAACCACGCGCCACCCCCTTTACCTGCTGTAATCTGGGGTTCTAGATAACGTGGACGCTCTATTAATCTTCACAAGCAGCCAACGGAGGGAAGGAGTGACAATAGAGAGGTGTGACGCATTTACAAGGGTGAGAATTCAGTTCACTCCAGGTCTGGTGAGGTTTAATGACCCTCCCCTACGAGGGCAGGAAGTTCAGGCAAAGATAAGGCCGACTTGTGATTTTAACCACCGTGACCCACAGTGGAAAAAAAAGCTACGAGTTAGGTCATAGTGAGCTCACACATCATATCCCGCCCTCAGGTGATAATTACAACCAGGTCATGTTGGATATTTTTGCTTCCTCAGGTGGTAAACAATGACATCATGGATTCATTCGCAGATGTCACATTAAAGAAAACCTCTGAATAAACCACAAATGCTTGACTTTAATGCCGTAGAAAAGGAATCGAATGCTGTGGCCTTCACCAGATCTCAACCCAGACGAACACCTGTGGAAGGTTTTGTAGCTTTGTATCAGACACCAAACAAGAAGATCTCGACTCCTTCGGGTGTTCGTCTCTCTAGTAGACTTCAAAAAGGACTTCTTCCTTTAGTTTGTCAGCTGAATCTACTATATTACCGACACCATCTAGCAAATTTATCCACAGTCTCCATATTTGGCTGTGAAGATCTTGATGCACACCAACTTTGTGTTTGTCTTCTCTGCAGGTATCTCTAGCTCCATGGTCTATTCTTCTCCCATGCACCGTTTGTTTCTCTGCTATCCTTTCGTTCATCGCCTTTGCCCAAACCAGTTGAGGCAGACGGCCGCCCTCCCTGAGCCTGGTCCTGCCGGAGGTTTCTTCCTCTTAAAACTGATTTTTTTTTTCTTCTTATTGCCACCAAAGTTCTTGGGGATTTGTTGGGTTTCTCACCACAATAGAATATAGCAACCTTATGAAAGACTGTTGTGAATTGATATGAATAAAGCGAGATAAGCAGCCCAAGTTGAAGCAACAGGTTGTTTTCCCATCATTCTGCTTCTTATTACATGATGCAAAGAGTGAGAGCGAGTGAGAGCGAGAGAGAGAGAGAGACGGGTGTGGGTTGTGTTTTGGGTTTCAACGCTCGAACATGCTGTGCTACATCAGCTCGATGACTAATCAGAGTGTGGTGGAGGAGTAGGGGAGGAATGAGAGAGGCAGATTGGAAAAGTGGGGATGGACACAACCACAGCGGTGGACGCTCACGCTGGGTGCAGGTGAGGGGCATGTGTGGCTGAAATCGCCGAAAGCTTTACGCGGTAACCGGTCCGTTATATGTTTAATAAAAAAACGCATGTAGGTCAAAATTCCTGGACATTTATGGTCCCTATGATGATTTCATGCTCCTCTGCTTCAGTCAGTGCTTCTTTGTTCTTTCCGTGTGTAATAGCACAACAAGCGGCAGGCCAATTGATAACGAAGTGAATTTTATTGGCTTAAAAGACGCTATAAAAGTGACTGAAGGGAAAATTAACAGCAACAATATTACGTGTTGGAAAACGCCAGATCTACAATGATTAATCAGACATTAAAAGTAAGTGCCAACTATTTTCATACGTGATCACGTCATCTTGGGTTCTGGGACACTCAAATGAGTTTTCACCATTTTCTGACATTTTATAGACCAAACAACTAATCAAATAAGTGCCAATGAAAATAATCATCTGTCTCAAGTCTGAAGGAGGAAAATAGGAGATCATGTCTGATAACTTGCCCAGCGAATTACAACAAATTTCCCAGGAAGACATGAAAATAAAGACAAAAAACATGGTGTTGTGTACTTGCCAAGTATATCAGCTGATTAGACAGGTGACAGAGAATTCATCAGCAGCTATTTTAATTAAGCTCAAATCATTTCAGTAATTCTTGAAGTTAAAAAAAAAATCACATTTTCCAGCTTCTAGCATCCCAGTTGTTCTTTAACGTACAAGGCTCTTATGTACCTTCAGCATTACCATCGGTCACGAGGGGCAAACTCTGCCTGTGTGCTGTGCAAACACTTGGCAAATTGAATTTGTGATGTAAAAACCACTTTAGCCGGTGGATTAATAGCCATTTTGCCCTGTGCATCAGTAGCAAACAGAGCACTTCAGTACAAAATCAATATTTACTGTTCATTTACATGATATTTGTACGTATAAAGTAGATTTATTTCCACCGAGAGGTCGATGGTTTTACTTCTTTTTATGTTACTGATGAGATTAATCCACACACACAACTTTCAAAATCTGATATATACCCCGGGGTGTGTGTGTGTCCACCAGGCATGAGTTATCAGAGCCGAGCACACGGCTGTCCTGCGACACAAAACACTTCCTTATCAGCAGCCTCCTGTTTCCTTTTCACAGCAGATGACACCAGCTTGGCTCATAACGCGTTAGCCTGCGCTAAGGGGTATCAATGCTGCAGATAATCACCATGCTGGGCTTAGCATGGTAAATCAAAGCCATGTGCAAGAGAGCCCGTCACACAGAGAGACGGGTCTTCTTTGGGGTTTAAGTGTGAGTATAAATACGCTTGAAGTTTGCCTCTTCCTGACCCTCTTCCTCTAGAAATCACTGACAAAGCATTCTGCAAGTGGGTGCAAAACAAAATGGCACAGAGGGATTCAGGGCAGCCCTCACTTTTTTTTTTGTTCATCGTTAACTTTATAATTAAAAAGCACTTGTCACTAACTTACAGGGTTTCCCCAACTCTGGTGTTGAGTATAAAGAGCTGAACTTGAAGCGCTCCAAAGCTCTGTGGCTCAAAAGGTTGAAAATGGACAAAGACGGACAAGGTAAAGCTTCCTGTGTGGATAAAATCAAACAGACAGGAGCAAAACCAACTTGGACAATTCTGAATCCCACCGTGATTGTTAAATTATTAGTATGCAGCATTTAACCCAGTTAGCTTAAGTATATTAAATTATCTATTTTTTAGGTGCTTTATCTGCTCTTGCACAGAAAACACATATAGTTACACAGTATTAATAGTATTTTGTCTATTGCAAACCCAACCACTCACCATTCTCAGGGGTTTTGCCAGATTTTGTGGACGGTCTTTAAGAGTCCTTTGAGTGTCATTTTCTCCAATCTGACGCACCACACTACCTCATGAATCCACTTATTGTGGGTATGTGAGGGGTAATAAACCTCCCAGTGAGCAAGATAACGAATAAAACAACTTCCTGTGTGGCTTTGGGAGGAAGGAATTCCAAAATAAGCTGTGAGGGGAACAAAAGTGTGCCGAATATTACAAGACAAAACTGTGATAACTGCATCCACGACCAGAACAATATAATCAGCAGGCGACTGTTTATGTCTAACCCGTGTGTTGGTTCTGTTGGGTTACATTTTAGCTTGTCTTATGTTGTTGACATGGACTTTTCAATACATTCATGTCCAAAATTATGTGCCAAGGTGCTCCAAAATGTAGTCAGATAATCTATTCCATATAGAGTCGCTGTGGTGCAAGTATGAATGTCGTACTGGGCGCCGTTCTTAATTTACGTTGACATAATGTCCCACAGAGCATGAACCATGGAACCTACCAAGTTTATGGGTTTTATTCCCATCCACTATGGCCAATCATGCCAAATATTCGGAGCTAGAACAATTAGATTATCAACATTTTTTGAGAATCAAGTAATTATGCCTTTTTGTTGAAGAAAAATTTACAAACTTTATCAGGTTTCTGCTCCTAAAATGTAAGTATTTGACATGTTTTTGTAGCCTATGATAATAAACTCAACCATTTTGGCTACTAGACTACCTTGGAAGTAGAGATTGACCCATTAATTCTGATAATTGGTGTGACTAATGAGATGAATTTAAATGCAGTTACCCCTCTGTCTGTAGTTGCCACTGTGTGGTCTTGGGCAACGTCTGGATTGACTAGTTGTGACCAGTAACAGTCAATCAACACTTAAGGATAAAGGGGGAAAAGCTTCTTTCAACAAAATATGTGTAAAATTAAGCTTTGTTTTGTGCCATCCTCATTTTTTACTGCAAATGTACAAGTATACTGGTTCTGCTATTGGACTCCTTGATTGCCAGTAATTGGTGCTGGTTGTCTAGGAACAAAAACATATCAGTAGCCCTACCATACACCAGCTGACGGGTTTGGAAAAAAAATATCAGTCGACCCATAATTGGCTTGAAATTTCTATCATTTCTGGACATTTTATAGAGATAATTAATTAGTT